AACAAGCTAATTAGCAATCCCTTGTCTCTGAATTTGTCATTAATTTGCCAATTTTGAAGACAAGGGTTTCTGCAGGAATACATGAGAAGCATTGATCTTGCTCTCTTTCTTGTTGACTAAGGTTATGGTTAAGATAACTAGAGATGGGGTAAAGTAAAAGAACATTTTGATTGAGGATTTCCACCCACATTAGGGCCCCTAAATATCACAGGGAGCTGGCATTAAAAAAGAAGTTATTCTATTCCACTGTTCCATTTCTTTGCCTTTTTCAAATCCTAGAGCAAATTACCATCATTAAATAAAGAATTCCTCAAAGTTATCTTATTATATATAGAAGTGGACATTGAGGTCAACACCCAGCAACGACAGTCTGTTTCATGCTTAAATGTAATCTTTAGGCTACGAAGATTGTGTTTAAGCTTTTATATTTACAGATGCTCTATGCCAGGTATTGAGCACTTTAACCTATAAATATAGCACCCCCTTAAAACTATATTTTTTATTGTGTGTGTGTGTGTGTGTGTGTGTGTGTGTGTGTACGTTTTGTTAAAAGAAGTAAAAATCTTTCTTGATTGCTCAATGTTAAAATCTGATTCTGGAAAGTTCTCAGCTTGACCCCCTTCCGAAAATTCAACAAAGTGACTAATCATCAGATTTTCTTTATAATATATAATGTCTGTAAAAATTTATTTTAAATATAATTTTATTTTATGAATTTTACTGCTTTTTTCTTGCCATTGTAAAATAAAAAGATTAAAATGTATACAACTTAAAACAAGTGCATAAAATACTTTTTTGTTTGTTTGTTAAATGGCATATCAACACCTTATGGGTCATTTAATGCCGATGTTTAATTTTCTTGAGAGCATTAGTAATTTTTTTTTTTTTTTTTTTTTTATTTACAAAAATGTATTGCTGGTAATTTTTTTTTTTTACTATGACAATGTATTGCTAGCACCTTCACTATAAAATGTATTTCTACACTTTTATAGTGTTCTGACCCCAATTTTGGAGGTTCACTATTTGGACATAGCCAAGACCCTAACAAGTCATAAAATACAAAAAATCATCTGCCACAAAATATCTTAATCATTTTATGCAACACTAGTTATAATAATCCAAATATAACCCTTTCAATTACATGGAATAATTCCTCTACCAAAAGTAAGGTGGTTGGTAAAACAATCATAATATCGTAAACCATGTTCAATAAAAGTAAAAAAAAAAATTAAATTTTTTAATTTCATTATATTTTTATAACAAATATTTAAGCATTTAAATTTTTCAGTGAACCTATATACACAATATGAAGCAAGGTAAAAAATAAATAATAGCTCAATTAAATTCCCTTTAGTCTGAGTATGGCTAAATCTGTTTTACACTATCATTTTAAGCTGCACAGTTCATGACCAAGGCTTCACAGATGTTTGGTTAGAAAAAAATCTCATCTATGCTTTTCACAGGCTAAATGTATTTGTATAAAGCAAGAAAGCACATTTAACTTTCTTTCTCTCCCTATTATCAGGTACAAAGTGATCCTTATCAGATCATAAACCTTTAATTATGACCTACTCCTTCTTAACCTAACAAGTCATCTGGTGGGTGCTGGCAGACTTGACAACTAACAAATATCATGGAGGAATAGATCAAAAGTAGAAAAGAAGAAGAAACACACACACACACAGGTTACAAGAGATCATGAATAGATTTTAAATAGGTTAGCTAAGTAAATATAAAAATATGAAACTAGACAATAAAAAAAATATTTCTATGTCTGCTAATTTAAAAGGCCAAAAGCTTTAATAGGATTTTATGACATTTTTATGTGTAACATTAGTAGAACATCGGGCACTGATAAATAATGTGCAATTATGTTTTAATTGAAAGCTAAGAGAACTTAAATATGCATGCAGAAATGATTTGAATGACATGATGGAAAATGGTCCCAAAACTTCAGAGAAACCACAGTAATCTTCTAAATATTAATTTGAAAAATTTCAAATCATTTATAAGCAACTGACAAGAAAACAGTTTTAATTCAATCACAAACACAAAATTAAACTTAGAAATACCTGGTTTAATCATCTTCAACAATTAAGTTTATTTTATTTTTTATAATTTGAGATGAGAAATGTGTTCTTACAAAGTAATAAGATCAATCAGATTAATAAATAAAATTCATCACTTTCTATAGAAATTGCTTAGTCAAGACACAAAACTAAACAGATATGACTATTTCAAGAGTCAGAGGAAAAAATCTGTGTTTAAAGGCACTATTCAACTTTGCTTGGTAGTTGATGCACTTTGTGACTGAGAGGTCTAACACACGTCAGATCTAATGGTTTTCCTTAGGGGGGACACAGATTCAAATCTTGCTAGAGAGCACATATTTTTTCTTTAATAAGATTTCTGGAATATTCAGACTGGTAAACGAAATTAAAAAACATATACTGTTTAATAAATAACTGGAGTGTCTACTCAAATACAGCTATCCACTAAAAATAACATTTAAATGTCAGATTAATAAATAATAAAAAAAAAAAATCCATCACTTTCTCTCTCTCTTATATATATATATATATATATATATATATATATATATATATATATATATATATATATATATATATATAATGGCCACTCGTAGAAGACCTTAGTTACAGTTTCTGGGAAAAGAGCGTGTTATCTAGTGTAATCAACAATTTGAACAAGGCCAGCACACTCAAACCCTCGGTCACGATGACTTGTGACTGTGCCAGCACAGCTATCAATGCCCGCAAGGGTTCTGTCTACCCAATTTCACTCACAAAGCTTGGGTCAAGCCGTAGTATGGTTTTCAGGCACTTTCCAAAGGTGCTGCACGCTGGGATTGTCCCCCTTTCCAGACTGATCTGATAACATCAGGAAGTCTACTTCCTGACAAACCAACTATGGGGAGACTCGAACCCAGGGCACATGGTCAGAAAGTGAACGTTCTAACCACTTGGCCATGCGTATATATATATATATATATATATATATATATATATATATATATACACACACACCAAGATGAAATAATTCAAACAAGCAGAGCTCAACTTGTGCAGATGGAGTTTTGCTGCATAATAATGCTGAATTTCAGGTTACAAAAATAATGTTACTAAAATAGAATGAGTTAAAAGATGGATATTTTATTGTACCCAATCTGTTCCTTATGGACTACCATTTTTCAAGCAGCTAGATTATTTCTTTATAATCAGAATCAAATTGAAGAACTTTTCGATCCCATTATTTCTTAGAACAAAGAATTCTTCAAGAAGAGAACAGACAATTTTCATCCAAGGTTGAATCATTGCATAGAGGTAAGAAAGGATTATTTTGATTTAAGTTTTCTTTTCAATAGGTTTACTGAGAAAAAAAAATTGTTATTTTAGCAAACAAAGAAAAAAATCCACAAAGCTGTTAATGATCAAAAGCATCCTTTCCATGATAAAAAAGGAGTTGCATTTTTAATTGTCATACAATTGATAATACTAGATTCAAAATAACCCAATCTTTGAATGCAACAAGTTTACAATGAGGTGTGACCATTTAGTTTCAATAAGATCAATCATATTAACATAACAGAAGCAAATATTCTGAGGCAAATTTATACTGGATATTTCTTTTAATGCTATGTTCCTTCATGATGTAAACAATCCAGACTCCACAGGTTTATCTTAATTATCTGTGAACTGCTATGCATTCTTGACAAAGATAGGTTTCTACATTGCCTTATCTACAATTTGAAGTTCAGAATTTTCTCTTGGAAAGCCCATTCTACCCTGCTATTTAACCCATAGCTGGAGCAGAAGAGATGAATTTACACCTTTCCCAATAGTATTTGTGCAAGAGTGATATTAATAGAGACCAAATGCTTAAATTACTATGGGAAGTAGAAAACAAAGCAAGGAAGATTTTTTGCTAATAAAACAAGACTTGAACTTTTACAAATATTAGAAGAACAACAAATCTATAAATTTCAAAGTCATTTATCAAAGTGAATTAGAATTTTAATTGCTTCTTTACAATATCCCAAACCAAATAATGCTGTCAAAAAAAAAAAAAAAAAAAAATGCCTAATTCATAAATATATGTAATTTATCTAAAATCAATATTAATATCTGAAAACATGCTGATAGGTTTTTAATGTAGCAAGTCCCAAGAACCAACAGGACTCTGATGGGTCCCTGGGAAATTCAATGGGTTTCAACTAAATTTTATTAATGTGTTGAACTAATAGGTATTAAACTGCAGAGCTTAAGACTACATTTTTTTTCAATTGAATCAATAAATTTAAAACAAAAACAGTATTTATACTTAATCACAGTTCAATTAAAAACATTTGAGAATTATGGCAGAATGAAAGTTTTTTTAAAATTAAATACAAAACAGTTCAATTATGAAACTATTTTTTAAAAATGATAAAGTTTTTTTTAATTAAATTAAGAGATTCAAAACAAAAAACATTATCTACATTTAACCATAGTTCAATTAAGAAACTATATTTTTTTTTTTAGAATTATCAAAGTTTTTTTTTTTTTTTTTTTAAATTGAGAGAACAAAATTTTTTTTTTTTTTTTTTAAACTAAATAAATTGGATGTGTTGACTAATTCTTTGGTTATAACTGAAGTTTTGGTGAACATCAGAGAGGAACGGGGAATGGGAGAAATGGAGAATAGATTTTTATTGCCTAGGAGAGACAAACATCAAAACCCAGCTTATTCTGAAAAGTAATATTTTTTTGTTTTTAGACAAAATTTATATTTTTCAATGACATTTTCTTACTATATTGACTAAATATGTTTTTACATGCATCCATGCAGTTCTACAAGAATTTTGGTTTTACCGTCAGTCTAGACTACATGTTCAAAGCAAGGGTTAGCAAACTTTGAAAAAAATAAAAATAAGTAAATAAAATAAAAATTTTAAATTTAAAAATTGAACCAAGAAATATTCTGGTAAAGCAACATTGATTCTATTCCATCAACAAAAAAAGTGAAAGGAAAGAGTAAGTGAAAGGAAGAAGGAAAGAGTAAGTGAAAGGAAGAAGGAAAGAGTAAGTGAAAGGAAGAAGGAAAGAGTAAGTGAAAGGAAGAAGGAAAGAGTAAGTGAAAGGAAGAAGGAAAGAGTAAGTGAAAGGAAGAAGGAAAGAAAAAAAGTGAAAGGAAGAAGGAAAGGAAAAGAAGAAGGAAAGAGTAAGTGAAAGGAAGAAGGAAAGAGTAAGTGAAAGGAAGAAGGAAAGAGTAAGTGAAAGGAAGAAGGAAAGAGTAAGTGAAAGGAAGAAGGAAAGAGTAAGTGAAAGGAAGAAGGAAAGAGTAAGTGAAAGGAAGAGGGAAAGAGTAAGTGAAAGGAAGAGGGAAAGAGTAAGTGAAAGGAAGAAGGAAAGAGTAAGTGAAAGGAAGAAGGAAAAGAGAAAAGAAGAAGGAAAGAGTAAGAAAAAGGAAGAAGGAAAGAGTAAGTGAAAGGAAGAAGGAAAGAGGTGAAAGGAAGAAGGAAAGAGGGAAAGGAAGAAGGAAAGAGTAAGTGAAAGGAAGAGGGAAAGAGTAAGTGAAAGGAAGAAGGAAAGAGTAAGTGAAAGGAAGAAGGAAAGAGTAAGTGAAAGGAAGAAGGAAAGAGTAAGTGAAAGAAAGAACTAGTCAAAAGTATTTGAAAGAACATCAAATGGTTAATGCGGTGTTTATTATTATTTAAAATTACAAAAAATATTGGCCTGCCCTCAGTCTGTACCAACTCGTACATGAAAATTTCTTTAGTGTGAAGACATTTTTTGAGCCCTGTTTAATGTTATTTGAACAGTGAGCCGAGTGTTAAATATAATTGTCTCTGCTTGTTAAAACATTTTGAACTCAGTTTTTAAAAGTATGCTAATGACAAAAATACAAAATGTTAAAAAAAAAAAAAAAAATTATTAAATAACTATGTACTAATTACCACCATTATCAAGTTTATTTGACAAATGATTTGTGTTTGTTTACAGAAAGAATATACTAGTTACATTTTAAATTAATGTCTTTTTTTACAAACATCAAAGACCTTTTAACTCATGACTTATGTGTTGGTTTTATGAAATATATCACTTTTCTTGGGAAACTTTAGTTGTGTCCCTGGGACACACAGATGGGAAAGTTACTGTGTCCCTTAAGATTTTTATGTGTCAGGAATGCAGGACTTGCACCTATTAACATCTCTGAAGGTGATACATATCCCTAGATATGGAGGGTTTATTTAAAATTACAAAACATATTGACCGCCCTACAATCTCTACCAACCCATACAGGAAAATTTCTTTTGTGTGAATACATTTTTTGAGCCCTGTTAAATGTTATTTGAACAGTGAACTGAATGTTAAATACAAATCCATCCACTTGTTAGTTAAAAGGTTTTGCACTCAGTTTTAAAAAGTACATGAACAAAAAATAAAATAATTATATTCATTTGACAAATGATTTGTGTTCGGTTACATAATGAATATATTTGTTACATTTTAAATTAAACTGATGTTATTACCTTGCCATCGACCAACAACGAATTCCTTTTACAATATCATAACATATATAGGTGTATTATTATTATTATTATCATGTATAGGTATATTATTATTAGCCAATAGAAGAACAGTTTGTGTGTCTACCTTAGGGCTGAAATAGTTGTATATTTATCAAAAGTAACAAGATGTTGTGTTTGAGCTTCACTAAAATCCAAGAATTCAAATGCAGATTTTCAAAATACAAAAAGGTTCACTCCTTCTCTCCCCCCCCAACAGTGGGAAGAGTGATACAACACAATATTCTTATTCCTCTATTATTTAGCCTTGTGCCATACTAAATTAAGATCAGTAAATATCAATAGAAGAATAGCATTGTTGTCAAAAATCTGATTATAGAAAGATGAAAAACAAAAGCAAGCTGTTATATATCTTCACCCACAACCAAACTTCCCACCCTCCTACCTATTTAAAAATGTTGTTAATTTGTCCTTGTCTAAATTCTGTCACAAATAATCAGGTCAATACATGTTAAGCAAGTGAAAAGTAAATCATTTGAATAAAGAGGAAATTTTCAACTGGTGAAACATTTTAGAAACTGAATTATTTTATGATCATTTTTCTTTTTATATATAAAAGTAAAACATTGAATTAACAGTCCTGGAAGAAACAAACTCCAGATTTAACTTTTAAAACTTTATTTAATGATTTATAGTAACTTAAAAATAAAATACACACACACATATATATATATATATATATATATAGAAATGGACAAAGTCCGACAATTTATTTATTAAAGACATTTTTATGTTTAACGTTCTTAAAAAAGAACATTAAACATAAAATGTCTTTAATAAATAAATAATATAAATATATATATATATATATATATATATATATATATATATATATATATATATACTGTACTTGCATTTACTTACAATAATTTTGTACTGTACTGGGTGTTTTTAGGCCATGAAAAAAAATGCTTCAAATTAACAGACAAATGGCTTTAATGAATGATCGCACCCCTATTAGTCCGTTAAATTGAGGTTCCACTGTATATACACATACATACAAATATGAGAAGTGTAGCCATGAATAAAATTTGAATTCACAGAAAGTTAAAAAGGTCATTTGCACTTATATGCACACAAACAGGTTTTTCTTCTATACACCTCACCTTTTTCTTTCTACATGTTAACTGATATGCTAAATGTAGAGGAGAAAAAAAAAATCTTTGTAAACTTGGAAGCATATCTAAAAAAGTTTTCTTTTTATTAGCACATTGATTATCTTAAGTGGGTCACACTTAGATTATAAGTCATCATGCTTATCGCCACATCACACTGAAACACTGGTTCTCACCAAATCAACAAAGTTAAGTAACGTTAAGCATGGTCAGTACCTAAATGGGTAACCACTTAGGAATACTAGATGCTGTAAGCTTAAATGTGTGGGTTGTGTAATGGATAATGGCTCAGAATGAGAAATTGGAGAGTCATATTCAATTTCCAGTTGGGTTAGTTACATTCACTTACATACAAATACCCTTGAGAGATAAGAATCCATCTCTTCCTCTACCAGCTATAAGTTAAATAATAGAACTTGTATCTGAAAATCATTATCTTGAAAAAAATTATTAATGCAAAATTCACTTGATTAAAAAAAAGAAAAAAAAAGAAAAAAAGATTCTTATTAAAAATATTTTGGCTTTAAATAACCAACAAAAGGTTGATAACCCATAAAAAAAAAAAAAAAATCAATTAATGTAAGTAATCAAGGATGGGCATGAAAGGATGTTACCTCAATGAAATATTTAATCTCAAGATGTTACTATTCACTTGTGCTTCCAGTTTTTATTATGGTGTCTTACCTGAATTTCTTCTGTGGGGATATACTCCTCTCGGAATTTCTGGCCTTGAAGTCTGTAGAACAAACATGTTTTGCCAACATTTCGGTCACCACGAATAACAATTTTCACTGAAAGAAGAAAGAAACAAAAAAATATTTTTTTTAAAGTTTTTTTTTTATTTTTATTTTATTTTAGATCAAATGTCACTATGAAAAAAACTTTTCTTCTTTGCCTATATCACTAATATATAACATTATTAACTTTTACATTAGCTAGAGTTGGTTGAATGATGAACTTGTGATTATCTTTTAAGAATTTATAAAATATGAAGCTGAATTAAAAAAACAAAACAAACATTAAAATTAACAAACTACTGTTTCCTTGTGTTGAAGAGTGAAAAATTTCTGACAAAGAATAAAGTGACAAACATGAAAGAATCAGCACTTTATCATTCAATTCCTTGTTTCAAGATAAATCATAAATCTTAAATTTAAGGATAAGAAAAAAAAAAAACAAGACATGGAACTAAAGTAGAAAATGGAAAATCATGGATTTTTGCTACTAAAAAATATTCTAACGGTAAAACGTAAAATTCCTGAGATGGAACTCAACAATCATTATTTTGCATAAATTTGCAATAAAGTCAGTCACTTATGCACAAATGCTACAACCTATATTGCTGCAACATATCATTGTATAAATAACATATAAATTGCACAGTACTGGGATCAGCAGTGGAAAATAATCTAATTCATAATATTAATCTGGCCAAACCAGGCACCACAGGGCAAATACCCACATGCAATATTAGCATATGAGTAGTATGGCACATGCAGTCAAGGGTAGTAAAAATAAAAGTTGTTTGTTTAGTAATTAAATTAGATTTTTAAATGTTGGTTTGATTATCTTTCACAAAAAGTTAGTAAACTTGGTGGGTGCACACTTTTGGCAAAATACAGAGCTGAAGAGCCAGCTTTCTGTGATGATTTTTATCATGATGGCAATAAATATTTTTGCAGATTTTGTCAACACATCATAGATGGGACTCTGAGGAACATGCTTGTGGATCATCAGAAATCACTCAAGCACAAAAAATAAAATAAAAATGCCTATATAAGTAGGCTATATAATCATATATTTTACTGTTTATACATAAGTCTCAGTTTTTCATGAGTTTTTATGATTTTGAAACAAAAATGGAAAATTGAAATTTACTGTCACAGAACAACACAGAATTTGATGTTTTAGAACACAGGCAATTTGCCACTTTAGAAGGTTTGCCTCAGGATTTCTAAGAAAAATAAATTCATGCCACTAATTTGTTTATCCTTTATCCCTCTGTATGTGACTTCCTTTGCTGTTCAAAATGTTTATCCTGCCACCGAAGGTGACTGATCCATAAACAATAGGGTGTTTGAATTTCATAGATGTGTTGTCATATCCTGCTATAGCAACAGAAAAAACTGAGTGAAAATAAGGATACTGCAATTGAGAAGCCTTGAAAAGGAATGCAGTAGAAAGGGAAGTAATATTAATAAGGCAGAGTGCTAAAGGTTAAAATAAATATACATTTATTTTTCACAAATCTTACTATTTCATCTTCTGAGATACTTATCTTGAAGTAGTATTCAAATTATTCAACATGGTAAAGTGATCATAATAGTGTGTGTGTGTGTGTGTGTGTGTGTATATAACAAAATTAATACAATTGAAAACAAATTGAATCAGTTTAAAATTATAACAACACTTGTTTAAAATTAATCTCAAAATTTTTTTAAATTTTAAATACTTTAAGGTAACAATGAAATTTAATAATTGAAATCGTTAACATTATAGCTATTTATACTTCTTGTCATTGTGCAATGCCTTCTTGTCATTGTGCAATGCATGATGAAATTGGTAAGCAGTCCCCCAGGTGCACCAACACAAAAATAAAAAAAAAAATAAAGAAAAAATACCACAAACACACAATCGATTGAAGGAAAGTAATGACATTTAAAATTGTCAATGTGTAACAGATCTTACAAGTGGTACCCAGGATGTATGCTGTATTTCATACTGTTTAGCTACAACAGTAAGAATTTGAAATGTCCTCCAAAAAAGGCAGCAAGCAGCCAATTATTTTCTGCGCAACATCATTAACTCTCTGGCAGACTTTCTTGTCCACTGCCATGCAGCTGGCATACCAAACAGCAATGCCATACACCTTAATGATTTTAATGGACAAATTTCAAAATAAAAATTAGAAATTTAAATTTTAAACTTATTAAGATAATTATATGATGCTGTTGGATGCCAAAATTATGAGGTCTAAAGTTGTAATTCCAAGGGTCAAAAATCAATCTCACAAGAACAATGTCAGAAAATACAAGGTGTGCAAAAAAAAAAAAAAAAAAAAAAAAAAAATTCATATTACAACTTTCAATAAACAATTACCTCTTCATCCATGAAGAATGACAGAGTGAAGTTGCCCTGTGGTTCAAAATAACTTTTTTCATTGGAGTAAGAAAGGTTGTGATTGGTCAAGACTGGTAGGAAAACGCAAACAATTACCATATTTCAAAGCCTAGTAAAATCAACCCAACCTCTATTCTGATTTTCTTTTTTAACTTATAGCGCAGAGCTCCTGAAAAGCCAAGAATCCATCTTCTGTTGTCTAAAGTAGTGTTCTTTTATTGGGGGTAAGGAATGTTATGATTGGTCAAGACTGGTAGGAAAACGCAAAGGATTATCATATTTTGAGGCCTACTAAAGTTTCCCTGATCTTGATTCTGATTGTCTTTTTTGACAGATAACACAAAGAATACAGATTCTTTTTTGAGGTACTTGGTTCTCTTCTTCATTGTCACACTAATTATTAAATTGGTTTCAACTGTATTAATTTTGTAGACTTCCCAATAAGATTATAAAGTGTTATCAAGACAAAATCAGTGAAGATACCAAAGTTGTATCTTTCTCTTGTGAGAAGACACATGCTAGCTAGTTATCAGTTATTCTCTTGTAAAATCTTTGACTATTTTATTTTCTAATTATATAAAGATTTTTATCTTCGTATTCATAAAAATGTTTGGCCAGATTTTGGGACGTGAATCAAACCAAGAATTTTTCAGCATCTTCTGGAGAATCAAGAAATACTGTCAAGGTACTAATAGGTACTACATCAACACCTCTCAGGTAAACCTAGTAGATGTTGATCTTGTTAGCAGGATGAGGATGAGGGATTATCCATTATGGTTACACTGTACCAGTACACAAAAATCAGTTATAGAACATCTTAACAGCAATTATTTTATGAGAATGTGTACAGTGAGAGATTAAATACCAGTGGTAGCAGCCACAACCAGTGTAAGGATGGTGGTTACAAATAAAGACAGGGAAGAAAGCATTTTTTTCATGGTCGTCAGATTCATGCAGATGTGTAGTCAACCAAAAGGCAGAAAGTAGAGAAAGTCAGAGCTAGAGAACACCGTGGCAGACAGAGACAGACGATAAGACAGAAATTTGTTATGTTTCCACTAAAACCAAAGTTGATAAAAAGCCAGGAGAGTTTAAGCTTTACTGTTCTGCCACCAAACTACAACTACTGCAAACCTTTTCCCCTGTTCCATTTCATGACAGTGCATATGTACACCAAAAATATATCAAATGCACCTACTCATTGACAAAATATTTTAAAAACATGGCATGGAGTACAGAGATCAGCTGGCAGACATATTAAAAAAATAAATAACAGAATAAATATACATTTTTTTCTTCACTAGTAATACAATCAGAGCATAACACAATCAGGTACTGATTGAATACTGTTACATAATTTAAACAATGATTATATATATATATATATATATATATATATATATATATATATATATATATATATAAATATGTGTGTGTGTGTGTGTGTATTTAGGCAGCAACCCCTCATTTACACGTTTCATAAAAGACAACAGATAAGGTACTGTGATTAAGCTTTTTATTTAATTTTTCTTGTGTTCAAACAAGTGTTTCCTTTTCTAGACACAGAGTGTGTAGAAACTGTCCAAATGTTTTGTAATTCCAAGTGGTTTCAGCTATACTCTTAGCCATTATCAAGGATGATTTTATTTTTACATTTTAACTAGATGTATGAGTTGTATGTATGTATCTAGAGTTATAGGAATGTTCTATTTTCCAAACACAGCACATTGTGGCTGTATTTGTAGTTAATATTATTGAGTGTTGGCTTTTTCTTTTTTATTATTAAGGCTTCCATTATTTTTTATAACATGTGGTTATTATGCTTATATTTTCTATGTTTCAGATGGAATTTGGTAAGCTTATGTGTGTTTAAATGGGTTCTGATGGAGCTGTGGTCGGATAAGTGTAACATAAGTCATCTGAATAGGCATGGAGTAGTGTGATTGTTGTAATTATTTAGAAGTTTGGTTTGATCAGGAACAGTTCCTTAAGGGGCATTTGAACTTGTAAATAATGTTCATTCTTTGTGGTTTCAATTTTGCCAGTGTGTTATGTTTTAGGATAAGGCTAGCTGTTTTAAATTTTTTCTAGTAGTTAATTTAATTTTGTTTCAGTCAACAGGAGTAGTGTATTTATTTATGATATTTCTAAGTGAAGATCCATCTTCTTTATAGTTGACATGCATTTGGCTTTTGTAGAAAATATTTATATTATTTTTGTCTGTGTATTTAGTATCATTATTATTTACTTTGGAAAGAAATAGTCTAATAGTTCTTTAAGGAAAAAGTAGACAAGAGGATGAATTCTCACATGCTCTCTTTAGGAAGGTTTTTTTAAAAAAAAAAAAAAAAAAAAAATCATTGCTATTTTGTATCTGAGTGAGCATTCACTCTTAAAATTAAGGTGGCAAGAGTTTCTGCTAGTGGTTTTTTTATACAATGAGGTAGTAAAAAGTGTTGTTACTGTATTCTACAAGAATGGAAGTTTATTTTTTTGACTAAGTTCATAGTAAAGTGTAAAGTTAAGGACAGAGTTATTTTTCAAATGTGATTTTGAGAGTATTTATTTCTTTTGTGTTTTTTGCTAAAATAAAAATATCATCTATGTAGCGGACATATATTTTAGGTTTACAGACCCATTTAAATATCATGTTTTCTACATGCGACAAATG